ATTAACATTTGTAATGCTATAGAACAGAGATTAATTGCATTGCATTGTCATTGTGGTTGATTTCATCAGTGGCGCGTCCGGACAAGTTCAGCTCTTAGATAAGTGGTTCAGGTCACTTGAATTTATCTATCTAGCTTCTATGAACCGGTGATAAATTTGCAAACCACTCAAAAAACTTAAAAGTCTACGTTAAATATTCTCATAGAAACTGGGTTTTTATTTGTTCAACTGAGAATCTAATAAGGTGTTTTTTCCAAAAACCATCTAGTGAAGATCACATCATATTACTCCTCACAGAAAACTATCATGAATGAATGACATATTCTACTAGATAAAATAAGTCATTCATTCATCCAAGTCAACATAGAACCAGGGATTACTGCGTACCGGTCCAGCTTGCCACACCTCATCTCAGTACATCAAGTAAATGGCAGTGAGTGAGGTGCAAGATGAAAATAATAAAATTCAGTCAAAACAAATATAAAGTACAGAAAGAGAGGAGGGAAGAATGAGAAAATAGTGAGGTTCGGTATAGCATCATTAAGATGAGGATAATGTGTGTATACATCTGCGTCACTGACATCGGTTCTGGGCCATATCACCTAGAGTCTCCAACCACTGGTTTCTCTTGTCCCGCAGACCCCAACCACCCAGTTTCCATCGGCCTACATGACTCAAACCAACAGTCAAAGACTTCATACATCATTTTAGTCAGGCCGTCTCGAGCATTTTTCCAGCCTGAACCTACTTCGGACAACATTGTGTGACGAGACAGACGGTGGTTAGGCATACTTTACATGTGTCTTAACCATCTCAGTCGATGAAGGTTCACACCTCATCTACCTCTCCTCCCTAAAGCTCTACGCCTGATGTCTGCGTTACCCACGTGATAGCACCACGGAATACGGCCTATACTACGAAGGTAACGGTGGTACAACACCTGAAGCCTTCCCATGTCTTCCACCTTCAATGAGCATGTTTCACAACCATACAGTAGAACAGACCGGACCGCTGTGCAGTACACGCCACTCTTAATAGACGATCGAATATCATGACGGCGTCAGAGGTGGCGAAGGTTTACAAAGCCAACCAAGCCTTTTGTACCCATGTAGAGATTTTATCGGTCACTGAGCCACCAAAGCTGTTAGCACTCGAGCTTCATTAGACCGCTATCCACCTCCCCCACCACTGCCTTCAAATCTTCCTACACGTCTCTCAGCTAACGAAACTACATCATCTTCAATTTCGCATAGCTCTGCAGCCTTCGACAACGACCTGAGTCCTCAAACCAGCACCCCTGGTCTCCATAAACTATGATTCAAACTACACATCAGGCCTTCAGTGTCCGCACTCTCCGTCCAGTTGGCCGTCATTGGCCAAGACTCTAACAACTTGGGTCATGGATACATGTTTTGTTTGTGAGACACGCATACAGGACCCAAGTGCGGTTATTCACCTCACCTCTCTCGACCAATCTGGTGAATCCACAAAACTCACCCTTCGAGTATCTGGAGATTCGATAGCTTTCTCTCGTGGTTTTGCAGGTGTAGACATAGCACTAAGCACTACGACAGAAAACTCACTACTAGACTGGATCCCAGTTGATAGTCGCCTCTGAGCTATCTGACTGAACGGCACAGTGGGAACTAAAAGGAATAGTGAAACTCGTCGCTGTCTCTTTGTAATCTCTGCTTACGCACCCACCGACTGTAGTTCGGATGAAGTGAAGGGCAAGTTCTACCGTAAACTGTCTAGCCTCCTCTCGGAAGCCAAACATTCGGACATGGTGGCTGTTGCAGGTGATTTCAATCCACAGGTGGGTAGACTGAGTGAGGCAAAAAGGCACTCAGGAGGCACCTTCGGAATCTCGGCTGAAAGAACAGATGACGGTGACTGCCTACTATAAATGTACTCAGATAACCTCTTATTTTTAGTAAGCACAAATGTCAGGCACAACAAAAGACACTGTCTAACGTGGCGTCCACCGAGCCCAACCTAGCGATGGACACAGATAGACCACATTGCTATCAGCCATCGCTCGAGAGGAGCAGTAGGGGACAAAATAAGTACACAGAAATAAGTCACCATTTTCATTAGCTGGAAAAAAATACTCATTTACTAGAAATGTCATTGTAAACCGTATTATTTAAAAGCATTTTTTGCAACTGACCGACATTTCCAGTATCTTTAAATGTACATGATGACTGGGTAACTTAAACACATTTATACACTGCCATTACACTTTTCATAGACTTAAGAAGATATTTGCGAATGATCAACCTTACAGCTTTAATAATCAGCATGTAATTATATATATATATATATATATATATATATATATATATATATATATATATATATACTCAGACAATATTGGTGAAAATGAGATCATTTCTGTTCTGTATACATGCATACTTAATCAGGTAATCGATGAGCAGAGTAAGTCAAAAGGCTGTTTGGAGATAAATAATCAAGTTATCACGTAAACAATAGTAATATATTCACTTTATTCCGCATCGTTATTATGTTCACAGTACAGGATTCTCAGTGTGTATTATTACATCAATTTACCCAATTGTACCACATTTTTAAAACACTAACGATAGTTTTGTCTGACAATACACAGTAAAGAATAAAGAACCACAGGATTATTGAAATGTTTAACGACTTCAGGAACATGATAACTATTCCTTATTACAAAGTTGATTGATAAGGCTATGTCTAAAAGATTTTCTTCACACAATACACAGGGTAAATAAGAAATGGTTAAATTTTTATATATGGTTGTGCGTGCATAGATTTTAATGTATTTATTTCTTGTCATCCCAGATGATAGACATAGAGAGACAGTCGGATGCAGAGGATGCTTGTCGTCAGATAATATATTTTCAACCAGTAGTCTACAAGAGTTTAGACGCCTATCCACGACTGCACTTATCAGCTCGGTTACGGGTGTGCTACTTGCCCTACTAACAGCCTTCAAAATCCTACGCATTCCAACGTATTATTTTTTTCCAGAGTCCAGGAAAAAAGAAGGGGGAACAATAAGTACAGGCAAATCGCAGGAATTAAAACAAGGTGAGAGTAGAGGGCGAGTTATGCCAGACAGTCTCAGTTTTCTTATATAAAAGGTCAAGCAAAGGATTTTCCTAGAAATCAGTAAGATATGAGGGGACGAAGAAAGATCAGAAGAAAATCATAGGCCAAGATGGATCACACTTGTTGCATCCTCTACAATGCAGCCATCTTCAAGACAACAGTAATGTGACTGAAGAGATTTGAGAAGACCTTTTTCGTATCTTAAGCTGAAATTAACCATTTGACATTTGGAAGGATTCAGTTAGAAACCATTTAAGGAAGACTAGTAACTAATTTCCCTTAAGAAGTTAATAAATTGAGAACAATCGGAAGAGGAGACGATCAGCATGAGTACTGTCAGTCTGTCAGTGTACTTAGCAATATTAGCTTCAGTTGAGGTTGGTAAGTCATGCAAAAAAGAAAGAGAGAAGGAAAGGAGAAAAAACAGCACCTTGAGGTACACCGGCTTCACTAAGCGGTTAAGCGGAACATTTGCCTCTATGTAGAGTGTACTCCCTTCTGTTAGAAATGTATGAATCAGGCCAGTTTGCAATCCAGACAGAATTCAGTGTGAGTACTAGCAAGCTTGTTTAATGTGACGGGTCTAAGGATAGAGTCAAATACAGATCTAACACACTTAACACCTTTGTCCAGACTGGCAATAATATTATGATGTGAAACAACCGTAGCATCTAAAGCACTTCTTCTGGGTTTATAGCTAAATTGATCTCGATCTCTGAAAGCCTGCAAAGAAGGTTCAATCACATTATTATCATTTTTTTTGTTAATGGTGAGGTAACTGCGATCAGTCATATGGTAAAAGATCTGTAGCTTTCAAAAACGTTTACAGCTAAAACACTATCTTCAAGATTGAATACTTGCTAAACGATGTGCTCGGATCTCAGAAAAGTATCAGGATCCTCTCATTTATTTGAACAACTGTTACTTACTTCTTCTTTACCTGTCTCAATGAAAAGTGATATAACTGGAATACGAATAAGATACACAGAATTGAATATGCAAAAAAGCTTAAGACTTTTGCTCTAATCTCATCCACGAAAGAAACTTATCTCCGTACTGCAGGTCCACAGAAAAACCTGTTAACAAATATTCTACACTTAAAGCCTTGTTACTTTCTCTATTTTCCTAAATGTAAACTGGAAGGTAATATATCAAAAAAGGTTATAATTCTTTGCGTCCTTTATTAGAAATAGACGAGTAATAGCTGAAAGAAGAGAGAAAGTAAAGGCATAATTAATCCCATTTTGAGATTATCTTAAATCTACGTATTTTCATTATCTAGTCGGAATATTAAGGTTTTCAAAATAAAATGTTTTTGTAAACCGATATCTCAAAATTCAGAACTATATACCACTGACTGTCACTATGATGAGGATATTCTCATCCTTAAGAGAAACATATTAAATGATTATGCATGAACAGAGGTAGGTTGGATTTAGATAAGACACAAGCTGATGTTAACTAACTCTTAAGTGCAATAGATTTTCCCCTGGTCCTCATAGCAACAATAATCGATGAATCAATCAACTTTTTAGAGTAACTAATATGATAAAAATGCATTTCAGCTTTCCAAATATGTTGTGTGTAGCGTAAAATAGAATAAATCTTTTCAGAAAAATCTTCACTATGGAAAATGCCTTAAAAATGAATAACAAAACGACACTATATGGAAACCAATCAACTATCTTGCAATAGTTGTGAGCAGATATTGGTATACATTTGTATATAAAATTTAATGGTGCCTAATTGATTTTATTTAATTGATGATTAGTGAAACATACTGACTGATATTTTAAATGCATAGGCTTCAATAAATTTTTCTCAATACGCTTCTGCTAAATAACTTTGAAAAGTAATGATGATATTAAACAGTACTATACAGTTAAAATTATAAAACTCACTTTTATTTTTTATAACTGTTCTGCTGGAAGGTATATCAACTTGATATCTTTCAGAAGGCAGTGGTTCAACTGTTCAGTTAAATATGAAAAGGTAAAGAATACAATTCGACAGAAGAGATAGGTAAATACTATGAAAAATAAGTGGTATATGGTAAATAAAATGAATGAATGGTTTAGTTCTAAGGATGAGCATTGAAAGTACAAGTTATCCATTGATGTTTAATATCCAAAAGCTGACATGTTCACAATCTCACCTGAGCTTCCGAGAGTTTCACTCCAGAAGACATATAACTATCTTTTCATTGTTAAAGTTCTTCAAAGGTTTTATATAACATTTTCTCCTAATTTTCTTTTATAGAAGCCAGATGAACGTGTAATATGGATAAAAAGTGTAAATGATTATGGCTGCAAGCAAAAGAGTAGAACGTGTCCATCTGATGTGAGTCACATTTTAATCAAAGAAAATGAGTCTTTGAAGTCAAATTACACGTATTTGATCATAATCTTTCCATCTAGATAAAAAAACTCAAGGAATAATTTTTACATCTCTTTGTACATTTTTTTTCGCTAGAATTGCAAAGTAAATTTAAAATTTATCTGGTAAACATCAATTAAAAATCGACCGCCCCTAACAGACTGGCAAAGTATTCGGTTTTCCCTCCGTTATCAATTGTGTTATCAGAGTTACTGCTTCAAAAATCAAAATTTACCATACCACTTGTTTATTACACAATGAATGGGAGTACTACTACAAAAACTTTCACACTCTTAATAAAGACGGATTTCAAAATGCTGCATTAGAAATACTATCTGCTTACTTCAGCTATGTTAATATTCTACCATGGAGAGGCAGACTGTTCAGGATAACCCAGTAAAGTGGACAAGAAAGAATAAGTAAGCCGAAACTACCAGGAGTTTAATATACTTGACCATGCTCTAACTGTTTCCTGTTAATCGTCATCTGGATGAGAAGCGATAAGCTACACTTTGAAATAGACTTGCACTCTGGATATTCAGCACTGCTATATTTTCAGTGAGTTGTGTAAGATAACTGTAGTTTGATGGGCTATTGTTTCACATATTCGTTGATGGTTAAAGGTAGTATAACAATCTAACCACCACTGGTTTCAATCCTGTCTCGACCAACCCTAAATTCCACCTTTAACTACTACTCAATTAGAGTACCATCAGTCTGCTAAACAATAGTTTCCTCAAATAGTTTCTTCGGTAACCATTACTATGGTCATCCTCCTATTTTAGCGCGATTTCCATTTAGATAAGAAAAACTTGCTAAGCAACCAGTATGGTTACACGAAATAAACAGTGATGTACCTGTTCCTATGATATGTTTAGCTATAAATGAAGAGGTCGCGAAGTATCATAAATTTATATGGCAACCGGTTGGAAGTCTCAGAGACTGAACTGAGGTTGAAATTGATCGGTAGCTGAGTCCCGTAGGCAAGTTAAAAGAGCGATAGGTTAGTAGACTCCATGACTGTGGTTTGAATCCCGTTGTGACTGAGCTTTCTGTTCCCCCTTAAATCACAACCCAGTATCAATATTTGATGGCAAATCACTTATTTCGCCCAAATTTTCTTCCTTATAATATTTGGTTGCTAACAAAAATGAATACTGAATACCATTATGTAGAGCAGTTCAATATACTCTTCTGTTTATGAAAACCATAATACTGATGTGAATTGAGGATAAGCAAAATTACAGCTTTTCATCATCAACATTATTTCTTTCACATATGTACCGTAGAATTTTGACTGTATAATTACTAGTTCCATCTCTTAATGCAAGATAAAACAAATGCATACAAAGTGTGGCTAAATTCGTCTCCTCCCTACTTTACGATTATATTTCACCTTCAGGCTACTTTCATCTTGTTGGATAGGTGAAATGACGACGACAACTGGCAACCAATTGATGTATTTAGTTATACATTGAATGAAATGAGTTTTGGAAAAACGAATCCAGAATTATATTTGGTAAATGTGGGGGACTATACAACCTACCCCGTAAAATAAATCCAACCGCTAAAGAAACATCAGGGCACAAACAAAATATAAAAAATAAAAACAAAATTATTCCTCGCTAGAATTGGAGAGACGAAATGACCCCACTTGGTGAAAGCCTTCGGAAATTCAACTGCCCGATGTGTCTTCTCTCGATGAAAGCAAAAGTAAACGTGGGAACATGGGATGTCCGCACCATGTTTGAACCCAACAAGGCTGACCAGATTGCAAACGAGGTGAAGAGGTATCACACTGAAGTGTTTGGAATTTGCGAAAGCAGATGGAATGGGAGTGGACTCTCCAAACACTCAACTGGAGAGGAGTCAATAATCTACTCCGATTTTGTCACCCAGACGATAACAACGAGCACATTGAATTATGGAGTGGCTATCACGATGTCCTCAAGAGAATCGAAGGCTCTCTTTAATGCAGTGGGAACCAATCTCCTCCACGATCATGGCAGCAAGATTCAACTCAAAAGGAAGAAAGGTCACAATCATACAATGTTATGCACCTACAAATAATGCAGAGCAGGAGAAAAAGAAGGATTTCTACAGACAACTGCAGTCAACACTGGAAAAGACCACACCTCAGTTGGCGATATCAAAATTCTAATGGGCGACATGAATACCAAACTGGGAGCAGACAACACAGAATGAGAACTAACCATGGGTCGAGAAGCGCTCGGTGAGGTGATGAATGAGAATGGAGAATTGTTTGGAAAATTCTGTGCATTCAAAGATTTGGTGATTAGAGATGGTGTGTTCAAGCACCAAGATATCCACAAAGTGACATGGATTTCACCACACACCAGGACACACTAAAAATCAGATCGACTTCATCTCGATGTGAAGAGAGGGGAGACGCAGCCTACTGGACACAAGGTGAAGAAGAGGAGCAGATGTAAGTTCAGACCATCAGACTATCTAGTGCAACGAACCTCCCAAATCAAGTTAAAGCCTTCAAGGAGGCTGATGATAGACCACAGTTCAAGCTCAACACCCAGAAACTGAAGGAAGAAACTACAAAGAAATCATCACGTCAGTCAGCCATCAAGACAAAATGGGAGATATCGAGGAACATCGCTGAAGAAACCTGTGTGGAATAACACTGGAAGTCTTTGAAAGAGATGTGGAAAGAAACCTGCATATCCAACCGTATTAGGAGGGAAGAAGAAGGAAGATAAGGAATGGACTGGATCTCGATGGACACATGGAAGCTGATAGAGGAGAGGAGGATGGTGAAGCAGAAGATGAACCAGTGCAAGGATGAACGTCGAGAAGAGGAACTGAAAACAACATATAAAACACCACACTGGACAATGAAGTGTGCGCAAAGACAAAACATACTTCTACGAAACACTGGCAAGTGAAGCAAAACAGGCTGCAGGTGTGAGAGATAGAAACCTGACAACATTGTATCAAATAACCAGGCTACTATCTGGGAGGGGAGAGATCAACGCAGACGAAACCAATAATAAATGATGAACAAAATCTAATTACCGAAGAGGAGAAACAAAGGAAACGACGGACTGACCACTTCAAGAAGCTCTTGAATCAAGCACCACCTGCACTTCATCCAGAAATACTACCCGCGGCAACAGAACTACAAGTGAACACTAGCCCCTCGACGAAAGTAGAAGTCCTGAACACCATAAAACTACTGAAATGAACGAAAGCAGCGGGACCAGATGGAATCCTACCAGAAGTTCTGAGGACAGACGCAGGGACAACAGCAGATATGCTCATACCACTATTGCAGAAGGTTTGGAAGGACGGAAAGGTACCTGATAACTGATTGAAAGAAGGGCTACCTTGTCAAACTCCCTAAGAAGGGAGACCTCAGTGTTTGCAGGAACTGGCTTGGAATCATGCTCCACGCCCATCCACCCGAAGCAAAATGTTATGTTGCATCATCCTGGAGAGACTAAACAATGAGCTGGATTCAAGATTACGACCGGAGCAGGCTGTCTTCAGGAAGTACAAATCATGTGCGGATCAAATTGGAACGCTACGCATCATCATAGTACGGAGTACTGAATGTTAGTCAACTCAACTCTACCTCAATTTCATCGACTTTGAGAAGGACATTGACAGCGTCGACCGACAAGTAATTTGTCAGACACTGCGGAATACCACAAACCTTTATCAACCTCATTCAACAACTATTTGAAGACGTCACATGCCAAGTAATTCACTATGGGAAGCTCAGCTCAGTGACGCCTTTGAAGTGGAAACTGGAGTAAGACAAGGCTGTTTACTATCACCCACGATGTTCCTGTGGTGGTCGACTGGACTGGATCATGCAACAAACAGTGGGGAGAGAGGAGAGGGGGAAACGCTGGACCGCGGAAAAGAACCTAGAAGATTTGGATTTCGCCGATGACTTGTGTCTAATGTCACACACACTGAAGATCTGCAGGAGAGAAATAACAAGTTGACAGAAAAGACAGGGCAGGGCAGCGAAGATGGGAATTCAAGTGAACGTAGAGAAGACAGAGGTGATGAAGATACCCAACCAGGAACAATAACAACAAGCTCCAATCACCATCAATGGGAGAAACTTAAAGGAAGTAACCTCCTCCACCTATGTAGGCAGCATCATCTCAACTATAGGCGGCACAGACGAGTACGTCAAAGTCAGGATCGGAAAAGCAAGATAAGCGTTCATTAGCCTGAAACTAGTGTGGAGATCTACACTCAGCATAAAACGTGAATAAGATCTGCATTTTCAACACCAACGTCAAGTCAGAGCTCCTATATAGTTGAGATACTTGGCACGTTAAGAAAAGCACTTCCAACAAACTACAGATTTTCATCAACAACTGCCTACGCTGGCTCGTTACTGAATCTCAGATGGCCAGAAAGAATAAACAACAAGAAACTCCTACTGGCCACGAACCAACAAAAAACCTATCGTCCAACAAATATGCAGAAGGAAGTGGAGATGGACTGGACGTATACTGAGAAAAATGGTTGGGATATCACGCGCCTAGCACTCAAGTGTAACTCCGATGGGAAATGACTAGTTGGACGTCTGAAACGAGGGTGATAAGGAGGAGATGGTGTGGGGAAGAAATGAGAGCTTATGGGCTGTAAGGGAGCCAGGTTCAAAAGATTGCGCAGAAGAGAGTGCACTGGGGACGTGCTACGGAAGCCCTATGTTCCACTAGGAACCCAAAGGACAAATAATAATAATAACGCTTAATTAATCTGTTCATGAATCCACCTTGGACAAGAGAGTCATAAAAGATATTCATTTGATTGTTATTTTAGTAACTAAGAGTTATACACTGGAAGTTAGTAGGTATCCTAAATGTTTTGAAGTTGCTGAAGATAAATCCTGTAGATGGTACTCCTCATGAGCTCTGGTTTACGTCTCTGACAGTAGTCCACGTGCTCTTTCCGGGTTTGCCTGAGCCAGTAACTGCATCTCATACAACACTGCCGACGTAGGCATTAGCATTTCTTCAATGTCTACAGTCTTCCGGTTACGTTCAATTCGTTTGTGGTTATAGTCCCGCAACCGTCTTGTAGAATGCTGGAGTACATTTCCATAGCATTAAATTAACGTCTCAGAAGACTTACTGAAGTCACGAGACAGGATTCTACTCACATGAATCAAATGACGATACGGCATTAGTATTACTGTGTTGGTGTAGCAGGATCATTTGCAGTCATATCTATCCACCCACTATGTAGTATTTGTGTTCTTCTTGAAAAGTTACGTAGTCCTCTGTAGACTCAACTACCTGCATCTCTTAATATGTCAGCATAGTTCTGTACACATAATATGCCCCGTAATTCTTTAAAGAACACAGCACACCAGAGATCAGAATGATGGAATTACCTCAGACTGCTTGTAGTAGTACAAACTGCGATTTCCTTCATTGGCCTTCTGGCAATATGGTTCTATGAAGCATTTCCGAATTTCCCGAACCCTCAGCTCTAGTGGGAAGCATTTACGTAAATGTTCCTTTGAGTGTACATGGCGGCACTCAACTATATTGCTCATCTTGTTATCTTGGGTTACAGTATGCTTCAAAAGGCATACACAATACCGACTGGCTCAAAGATTGGCGTTGATGTAGGCCAATACTGCTGGATATTCGATTCTCTTGGAACGTCTCAATTCATGAAATCTAAGGAATTATCATAAATCGGTGTTGATACTTGTTACGGTGCAACAGAACGTTATAGATCTATGGAGACTTGAGATGTGTTACTGAATTTTGTGACAAGCTAAGAGTTGCAAAATGGTGTTGTAAAAGTTTCAGTAAGAAGAAAATATAATCCTGAGATTGATATCGTTTCATGAAATGATATCAAAACTTGTAGTAATAATAATACTAACTGTCTATTCCAGTAAAGAAACCTGCTGACTCCCAAGTTACGACAAAACTGGGTTTCATACCTCCTAGTACTCATCAGTGAGGCATATCTGCAACCCCGACAAGACTGATGGATAGTGTGATATTCGAACCCACACCACACATTACTGCAGTTCACGCCGCTACCATTGAAGTATTAGGTCCACGACTGACTTCCTATATGACTGCATTAACAGAATGAAAGGTCACTGAAGAGTTACTTACCATAAAATTCTGAGTACTGACTGAATTCTAGCAAACAACATTACTATAATTTGAAAACCTGAATACTTCAATGGAAGGCTAAGAGATGCTTTCTAAGATTACTATACTGAGGAAAACTTTTAATTAGTTGTCCTGTTTGGACGTAAGACAGTATAAGGTGAAATCGAACTGAAAAATGCCAATCTGCGCACTTGTGTCAACATAAGTTAAGGTGAATGAAATGCATAAACATTTATTTTCGCACAATAGCGGTATAACTAGGTTGATGAAATGTCATTCCTAACTGTGAAAACTGGAAACAGTCATTTTTAAAATTTCACCGAGAATAATCTGGCGGTAAGTTTATCGTGTTAAAGAAGTAGAGGCCTTCAACAAGGGCTATATCGTTATAAAGCCTACATATCTATTAGTAAAATGTTGTAACACAGCAATTTCCATCTCATGAAGGCACAACTTATCATTTTGTTCATCGTGTAAAGTAACTGCTGTTTAAGACGTTCATTCTACATAAATTCTTGCCAGTGAATGCTGATAAGAATTTCCAATGAATCAAGACTAGAGACACTGAGTATATAATAAATAATACTCACCAACTGAAACATAGTATTCACGACCTTTATTTCTTCTTTTGGCTGTGTCATCAGCTGCTTTCATTTGAGTAAGGTATTTGCCTGCTCTGGAGTCTGATGAATATTCTCTGTGTCTCAGGTCTGACTGATCTTTGATATCTGTATGATTAGTATTCAGTCCAGCACCTGTAGTGCATGAATATACGCCAGTGTCATTCAACTGAGCATTGGTGATGATCAGGTGCCAACGATTTGGTGGCTTATATTGGACTTGGAATCGTTCATCTGGAATAAAACGAGTTCTTCCTATTGTTAGTGGATATTCCAAACCCAGCTTATTCCATAAAACCTGAAAAATAAAAAAAACTACTATTAGTAAAGTTGTTTTCTAGAATAAAATCAAACCGGAAATTTTACGTTTCCAAGTTTTGTAACAAAGCATGTTGTGTATTCTTTATTTTGCAGTTCCACAGTGAAACAAAAACTATGACTTACATGTAATAATCAAATATTAAAGCTGATAGTGATTAGTAAGTAGTGTGCTATTGAACTAGTGGAAAATACTCGTAGCTCAAGTGGGTGGTCTTGGTTGTATTGTAGTCTCTGAACTGGGTTGTTTAATCGTGAAGCTTTCATCATCTTTCTAGACGACATCATCAGCACTAACTTTAATATGAACTGAGGTGTAGTATCTCTCCATAAGTGATTTAGTAGCTTGTCCTGACGAACCCAGCTCAGAGAACACGAAACAACTAAGGTTATTGAACTTAAAAGGCTGATGAAAATTACTTGCGTTGATAAACATATTGCTAGTCAGATCTGTGTGATTCAAGCTCCAAAAGGCGGTTTCAATCATTTGAAACTGAACCTGTTAGTGGTAACCTTAACAAGTGTAGTTCTAAAAATAATTAACCACTCCCGTGACCAATCAATACATGTAAGCCGGTCCAACAGGAGGTCAATCGCGGCCGGAATAGCTCAGCGGTAAAGTCGCTGGCTACAACATCAGGTGACGCGGCTTCGAATCTCAGGCGGGATATCAGTTCAGTCCAGGCTGCAGATACGCCTTGCTGACAAGTGCCAAAACGCAAAAAACCTAGGCCCAGGGCTTTCTGCCGATTGCCTCACTGTGTGTTACAAATCAAACAAATCTAATATCGATGGAAATACGCTAAAATGGATGACAAATTTGCCATTTTTACTTGCAAGTTGCATTATCTTTCATGAATGGTTTGTAAATACTGAACTGAAGATTTTGAGAGTGGTCTTAATTTATATTGAGAAACAGTGATATACTGAAGAAAGTCAACTTGTGTACACCATCAGTACAGTATTTATTACAAATCTATGTTAAATTTTTTATTTTTTATATTTTTTTTGTGCCTTGAAGTTTCTTTAACGGCTGGATTTGTTTTACGAGGTAGGGTTGCTAGCCCTACGCCCAACCTTCCCTTTTTACCCGGGCTTAGAACCGGCTAGTAACTATTGAGGAGATCGTGCGAGGAGGAAATGAGAGCGTCACGCTATGGAAAAGTATTATTCACTGGATAATGTTGAAGTTACTGTCCACCTAACAGTTTCCTATTAAGGTGACTTTGAAAATTTGAAATATGGTTTATTTAGTTTGGGTATCTTATCCGCTCTTGTCAGTGAGATAGCCTAATCTTTTAGATAAAGAGGTTTCCGCATCACACCTGTTTGATTTCATTTCGATGAATAAGGTTTCAGGATGGATTTCATCTTGAAACGACATCGGAAGTCTGGGAGGATTAGACACATTTTTCGTCTTGGTGTGGGACTCCTCAGCAGTCCGCACGCATGACCCCGCGAGGGATCGCACTGCTTTCAGTGCTCCTCGGTACTCAATATTCCTCAAACCAATGTCACTCCATGATGAACCCCAACTTTAAACGAATTATGAAATCTCCACAAACCTTCATACTAAATAAAATTTAGCCCATCAATCGATTCTCGGAACTGCTTCTTCACGACTGACATTTTATCTCTTTGCTTCACTTGATTGCTTGTGTAGATACGGTATAAATCGTCTCCATTCACCTCCCCGTGTTACAGTCCACCATTGAGGATCTAGTCTGCAAGCATTTCTTATGTAAACCGAAAGGTGACTTATGAGCCCATCTGCCAACAGATGTCGAGCAATTCGACACACTGTGGTAATAAGATTAAAAGCATTAAACAACGAAAACGTAGCTGCATGCGGAATATCTTTTAAAGCTTCTTGACAAAGTAGGCAATGCTTTAACGTTTGAAGCGATGGGTACCGGATTCCAGTCTCAGTGGGAGCAACATCACTCACTTGGATGCAGATATATGCGGCCAATGACTCCCGAGTAGGGTGGAATGCACGTCCTGGTTTCCACTACTAACCATTAAGCAGTATAGAGGCATAACATAGGAGCCGTCTGACAACAGAGGTTGAGCAATTCGACTCAATATAGCAGTGAGAGATTACAAGAATCGAACAAGGAAGATTGCCCTGTAAATTTATCAACCAGTTGTAGAATATATTCCCATAGACTGTATTATTCGTACTCTAAATACTGGCCACAATAAAATGGAAAATAACCACTATCAATAATATCATTCAGTTTTGTTGAAAAATGTCGTAAAATATATGACTTCATATAATATTTTATCTAACAAGACAAGAATTTATTGATTTCAAATCGTGTAACTCGACTTGAATTATTTCATACTTATGCTGGCTTTGATACTCCAATGAACCACCTGAAAAAAAGCAGTGTGCTCATTTCATGTTGTAATTTAAATCAATATAATATGGTTACAGGTGATGATTACTAATGTATAGTACCTACTATCGTATTACCTTTCGCAGTACCAAAAAAGTAGGTTAAATTAGTTCACCTACCTATAAAAGATCTAGAACGAAACTATTAACTCTAAAATACTGACTCGTGATGTCAAACGTAAAACGGAGGTGGCTAACTGGAATTCTGCCGCTGCGCAAACTTTCATTTCACCTCCAACTATCACCCAGTATTAATAAAATAAACATAAACATCTCAATAATCGGCAAACAGTTTCATGAAAAACTGCTCTAAGTTAGATCATAGCCTAGACATTCTCCTGTCACATATTGGCCTTTATTTTGTGTGCTAAAATGTGCGCAAAAAAGAGATTTCGATGGTGTACAGTATTCGTCAACTGATTTAATCTCTTGCGAAAAACCTCGTACAAACTAGAACATGACCTAATTATATATTTATGTAAATGTCAGATTCACAGCATGCATAAACGCTTGACCCTGAATCTTCGGATATGATCAAGGGTTGAATAATGATTCATGCACATTAATACTAGTTAACAATAGTGATGAAAACAGTGTGGATGTGTGTAGAAACTAAACGTTTTACTTAAGCCGGAGCATTTTGCTATCCACAAAAACACTAGAAGCACAGTTTATTGAATATGTTTATTTTCCATAAATTTCAGCGATCTGATGTGTGACTGTTCATTTTCTATCTCCATCCCGTCTCTACAATAATATTTATGTTGTGTAATGTGCGTATAATCCAACTATGCTCCTAACAATGAACTGACAGTCAATCATCATAGCTTAAATCACCTTTGTGAGTGTTACTGAGCAGTAAAAAATTTTACAGCACTTAAAACTGGAGATAACTTATTAGATTTATCATGTACCAAAAATGAAATTAGCTGCAAAACGTATTCATCGTTTATTCTTTGAATCAAACCTTCAAATTCGATGCTTATCTGAATAGTAAACTCTAATTATATTGCGAATTATAAAAGTAGTGTAAGGCAAAAATATGCCTATGAATTCAATGGCTGCACATCAATACAATAACCTGGACAAAAATGATACCACAACTAAGAGGAGAAACACTAACTCAACAGAGAAATTCCGTGTGAAAAACATGTACCAAAATAAAAAGATTATGTGATTACAATAAACTTTTTAAATGACTCTCACTAAAACCTGGTTAGTAACCACACCACCCGTACACCAAGATTCTAAATATGATTAGTCTACAGGTTTTGTTAATTTATATGCGATGCGCATCTCATTAGCCAGTTATTTCAAGGATTACAATGAAAATACTAAACAGTTCAATAGTGAAATCTTGAAACGTTCACACCATAAATAGAAAAGTAGGGATGGTATTACCACCTGGTATTCTTTGAATGAAAGATGCTGACAGGGCTTAAGATCATTGACAAAAGATCAAGTTATAAACAGTAACAATGGGGAGAATGAGATGTTTATTTATAGGTTATCAGTGACTTAAAAAACTCTCTGCTTCACTTGATGACCATTATAACATAGTAATTCTTCTGGCCTAACAGAAAAGTATTTGAGAGTGAACGCGATTACTTGTCCCATAGTGTGTCATAATTGGAACATAAGTCGAGGTAATGTAACAAGCCAAAAAAAAATGCTCGAAGTTTGTTTGATCACTAAATTTCTCAAAAATGGAGTACATTATTGACATAATTTATTACAAAAACCCTGGAGTATTTCAGTTGATGTCAACTAATCATATTTCTTTCTAAACCAGTTGATAAGACTATTACTGAAAATATGCCAAGGTGTTTGTTTTTTATTATGTCAAGTAAGTAGTTGTGTGATATCGAATGATAGGCAGACCATCATCTTCATGACACCTATAAAACTGTTTATTAAAATGTAATGTGATTGCTCACAGTATGATCTTTTGAATGACCCTAACTTGGCACATTTGAGGTAACAGAAGTTGAAAATATGGAGCATTGGATTCTGATTCAGTGGTTCAATGGTAACGCACCGGCCGCGAAACCTGAAGGTCGCGGGTTAGATCCCTGCTGGTGGGGTCGTGGGTGCGCAGTGCTGAGGAGTCCCACAATAGGACGAAACAGCTGTCCAGTACTCCCAGGTTTCCTTTGTTCCTCCAACTGATATCAGCCTACGATGAATAACAACATTTTAAATAGTTAATATCTTAGAAAGATTGTAAAATGTGATTGCAGTTTATGAGCACCGGTCTTTACTATTTAGTTACTTGTGTCGGCACTAGCTTGAAGGTCTGCTGACCACATTTTGAGATCATTTATAATCATGTTTACTTATCAGTACCCTAGAAACGATAAAGATTTCTACAAAGTTAAGTTTCAACTGCAAGAAAAAACGGTGTTTACCTCTTTTTTAAATCATAATAACTATCTCCAAGATCTGAATATTAAGAGGTATATCCAAAATACTCACACGTCTTCAAGTGACTGATACCAGTCAAGATTTAGATGTTAAAACAAGACTACATGAATGCACTGAAATCAGATTACTTCCTAAAAACCTAACATATCTTCTGT